ATAAAGTGCTTGTACTATGTTAATAAAAGAATCGATGAATAAAAAATCCCTGCTAGATGTCATGAGAAGTGTTTTCTTCTGGAACTTTAGAAGTACCCACCCCAATGTCTGAAACAACCAAAACGTTGGACTATGCTTGGGAACATATTACAAGCAATTGTAGCAAAACAGCCAAAAAAGATAGAACATTTTTATTTTGCTTTAATTTTTCTTTGACCCTGCCATAGCTCCCTATTTCTCCTACTCATGGCCAGTTTAAGGCTAGATTTTAGAGCTAAACTTTGCATTTGCTTTGACACCTGTCTCAGTCAACCAAGGAAGTCTGAAATAGACTGCAAAGTGATTCTAACCAATGGGATACTATTTGAAATGAGCTGAAGTAGTTCCTGAATATTAAGACAATGACTCTGACACACTGGTTTTCTGTTACCAAAGTTTTCAACACGACAAAAAGAGATATTTGTTTTAGGGGTTTGGAGGCATGGGGCTAGATCTACCCCAGTACAGTTCCATTGAAGACAGCGTGGGTTCAGGCTGCTATTTTGATAAAAAAGATGGCCTTGATCATATCTATACGTAACTCTCAATAACATGCTGTTCATTCAGCCAACTTTAGATACATGTAAATAGGAGTTTATCCAGTTTAAAAATGTGCTTGTATAATATATCTTTCAGTAGCCCCCTGCTATCTTTTATAAACTTTACTAATTTAGAGGTCATTTCCCTCAGCATCTTGTCTTGGCAACCAAGATCAGCCAGCATGCTCTGGAACACCTCCCCAGATACGAATATAAGGATGGGAGGGGTGACAACTTGGCTGGAGGTTAGTGATCCTATAAAGTCCACTCCCTGCACCACCTAACAAAGCTCATGTTTTTGACCTTTAGGGCATCTGTAAGGGACTCTCTCTTTACTTATGCTTTTCCTCCAGTAATCTGCCAGTGGCTGCATTCTTGGAAAGGAGTCCTTATCTGAATGAGTACTTCTCAGTTTGTTTGTATTTATTTTTTTAATTAATTTTGATTGAACATGGAGAATATGAGCTGTTATTTTAAAATAAAAATGGTTAAGTCCCATATTTGAATGAACATCATATATGTATTTGATAAAGGATGTTCAAGTAGAAGAGTAAGAGAATAATTGAAAAGATTTCTTCCCAGCAACTGACTGGCCCCAAGGACTAGCCAGGGGTGGGCAAAATGTGGTCCGTGGGCCGGATGCCGTCTGACAGGCCATTCTATCTGGCCCGTGGGGCCCCTAAAAACTTAGAAAATAAATATTAATCTGCCCCTGGCTGCCTGTTATGCGGCCCTTGGCGGCTTGCCAAAACTCAGTAAGTGGCCCTCCGCCCGAAATAACTGCCCACCCCTGGACTAGACTCTCATGATGATTAGACACTCCACACCCTAACCTCAGTATGGTCTGAGCTATTCATTTTCCCCCAGATATTAAATTACAAAATAGTACGTGGCTGGTCTTCAGACTGACAGACTGCTATGTTATACCGTGTAATTTGCATTTTGTGCAGATGACTTGTTACCTCAAAGCAGAAATCTTGTCCCAGGATGCTGCTATGAAGTGGTTTGACAAAGACCTTCTCTTCTGTCCCAAGATCCAGTGCCTCCACTGCACTACCTGGGCTCAGTAAAGACTCATGGGAACGAGATTCTTTCAGCTTTGGCAAGCCACGTGACCTGTGTGAGAAAAAACACTCTCCTCAGACTCTGCTAAATAGAAATTGGCCAAATCCCAAACAAAGGAAATTCTAGCTTGATGGTGTTAACTAGTTCTTACAGGTTTTATGATTGCTTTACTACCCTACAGAAAATTAAATGCACACATGAGCTATTCAGTTTCTCAAATGCAATATGCAACATAACTTTAATACAGTGAAATTCAAGGTGCTAGCATCGGGGCTGGTAAACAGTATCCCAGTACCATTAGCTAAATGCAGGAAACACACTTCAGTAGACCCAGAAGCTGAAGCCGCTGTGACACAATTAAAAGAAAATTCCTGTCAACTGTAGATCTCTTTAAATCGGTATTTACCATAGGCAATATGCCATTGGGAATATCTAAATGCTGATTAGCAAGGAAATGTTCTGTTAAAAGTAACAAGTTTCCCTCATTAAAACAGAGGTTTTGTCATTATATTTACTATTTTGTTTTCTTGTAATAACTTCTGGTAAGAACTGGATTGCTTTGGCATTTTGTGATGGCAATGGGGAAACAATTAAACACATTAGACCTGCCCTAAACAAATAAGGTGCTTCCATTCACATTTTTGCAACCCCTGGGCTGCTTCCATCTTTTAACAATTTCCATTCTTTGCTTTTTCCAGGCCTTCCCTTTATTCCTCCTCTGGGGTTGCCCTGACTACTCTTTGGACACACAATTTTTCTAAATCCTTCCTCCCTAACAATTGCAGACATTTCCTAGCTGTTTCCTCTCCTGAAATATCCAGTTATTCTAGTCTCCTCCTTGTCCTCTGCCTCTCTAGGCATTCTGAACAGGCTCCTCCAGTAAGCCTCTCTCTCTTTTGGCTCTTGTTGACTTCCCAAGCACACACACCTACTCTTACAATGATTCTTAAATGGTTCACCATATTTTAACAGTTCAGTCCTGATGCAACACTAATATACATTGGTGACCCATTCCTACTGTCAAAATGGCACTGTAAGTGCTATTATGTACCCTGTGTCTCAATGACTTTAAAAAAAGTGGGCTTAGTTGTAAGTCAAGAGTTTTAAAACTGTTCTTCCTCCAGAATCGACCTTGGGCTCCTTCTTCCTGATGCATCCCTAACTGGAATAGAAGATTCTGCAAGTTAATTTGCACTTTCAGTGATAGGAGCATCTTAAGGGATTTTCATAAGCACAACTGGAATTTAGTAAAATGATCTACTGATGATAAACAAGAAAGAACAGAATCCCAGGTTCCTCTCTTAGCCATGGTAGTTTTGCAGAACAAACAAGAGTTAAGTATTTTGCTACTTTTTTCCCCAAATTGCAATGCAGGGCTAGATTTGAAAAAGCACTTTAGCTCAGGATTAACCCCTTCTCTATCCAAAAGAGTACACAGACTTGTGTAAAAGTGCCTCACTGATTCAGGACCACAATCAGCATAATACAGTGGAGTACAAGGAGAATCAAACCTGTGAGAAGAATGACATCATTTTTACAGCTGCTTTCCAGAAGAAAGCCACCCTTTAAAGCTGTGTTTTCTCACCCAGGTTTCTCTTTGCAATAATTCCCTGCATATTTGGATCACAATGTAAAAGCTTAGCTTCAAAGCTAAGGTATTTACAAGTAGATATTTAAAGAAGAATTGGGAAGGCGTTGTTATGTATAGGGATTCCCTTATTTTTTGCAGGGGGGAAAACCCATTAAATAGCATATGAATTTCCTTTTATTGGAACTTCTTTTACTAAAAACCTAATACCTTTACAAAATTAAAGAAATCCTGAACTTATAAGTACCAGTATCTCTTACTGAGAGATGTTGGGAAATGGGAAGCAAGAAAAAAGTTACATGGAGAAGGTGTCTTTGTCAGTCCTAAGACTGCCTAACAAAACAAGGAGACCATGAAGAATAAAGATCTTAAGCAGCAAGCAGAGTTCCCCTCACTGCTCTTTTGCACAAGATCAACCATTGCTGGCACTCTGGCAAACTCGCATTGGATTTTCTCTTTTTAGACATTCTCAGGGAGGGTGTTGTTTCCATTATATATATTAAATGACCTAAACAGAGGAAACAATTGCCTTTCATGAGAGGGATATTACAAAAACATTGATTTCAAATGCAAAATGACAGCATTTGTACAAGTGCTTTGGCTGTACTGTGATTTGTTGTAACGGGTTACACAGTAGCAGCTCGTACCAACACAAATCTAAAACCTCAGCCATGTATAATTGAACGCTTGCTGCAATTATGTTGGGCAAGTCTAAGATGAAAACACCACAATACACTACTTTAATATTATCTATGCAAAATCCTCTCTCTAATTTCTCCTCTAAAGAAAGCACTGCTGAGATCACTTGGCTACTGTCCTTATCCCAAACTCTCAGCAATGCCTGCTCCAGCAGAAGTTACTTTCGTGGATAATGTTGCGCTGAGCGAGCCCACAGCTAATTCCAGCCTCAGCTTCTCACAGCAGAAGGAGAACCTAGAGTGGTCAAAAGTGAAGAGAAGATATACAATGGAGAGAGGACAACTTTTTGCACATCCTGTGTAAGCAACCATATTTTTAATCAACCTAGGGTTAAACAGATGAAGAACCCTTACTCATATCAGTCAAGCCCACCTACATGAAGCAGTTGTACAGCCACTTAGCAGTGCACCCCCAAATCATAGCGGTGCCACATGTCCAAATCCCCCCTCTCCCCAATTCTTTTTCTGGGCTACATCTCAGAAAAGCAATCCCAAGTGTGCAGAAGAAGAAATGCACAAAATCCAGCAGATGCTTTATCTTAAGCCCTTAGTTAGAAGTTTCAGACAAATTTCAAACCAGGCAGGAACATTTAGCAGGAAGAAAAGCCACTGCGACCACACAGGCTGAGTAATATCCCTTCTCTTCATCCTTCACACTGCATCCTGCTCCTCAGGTGACACAAACAAGGCTCCTGGCGTGCCCAGCCTGCTCAGCGCTGGGCCTGTTGCCATGGTGCTGCATCTATAAGGAGATCAGGGCTGGGAGGCAGCAGGGAGAAACAGCAGCAAGCAGGGAGCATGCTCTGCAAACATGGCAAAGGTGACCTTTCAAGCAGGAGACAAGTCCCTATTCCTTCTGTTGAACAGGTTAAGTAGATCCTAGTCGGAGGGGGAAGCATCTTCAAGGAACTGCTTGCTAGCAGCCTACTGAGAATGGATAGGGCAGAAGATACATGACAACAAGTTCTATTTCTTTCTTCACATATGATCTTCCCCCACTGAGAAGCACTTACCATAGCCCACTTTGCTAGCTAAATCTTTTACTAATATCTATTTGGCTTCCTACGCAGTATTCTCTTTAATCTAGCAGGTTTGAATGCTGTTTTGTCTCTGCTCAAACTGGGACATAAATGGTCACTTTACTGGGGTGCAGGGACTGGAATAAGGAAAAAGGAAATGTTTGTGTGCGTGGGAACAATCCCTGGAAGTCATAGTGTTTTCTTCTGCACAGATTTCATTTCAGTAATTACCTTTTCTCAGCACTCTCTCACAACTATAAGCTAATTACAACTAAATGATGGAGTCAGCACTCAGCGTTGTCTTAACACTTCATTAACAGTGGAAACTTGATTATTGGCCTACATATGAATAAACATCTCTGTAATTACCACAGTATATTTTTTCATTTATTGGAAAAACTGAAAAAAAAAAAAGTAAATGAGACACCACAGGTTTTGGTACAATTTGGTCAATTAAAGCACTCTTTATCATGGAAATAATTTCTATTTCTGCCTTCTATTAAAGTCTCATCCAACATTCTGATGTTATAACTAATTTACTGATTTACCCACCTATCACCTCTCTGGCCTGGACAGACCATTAACACAAAACCACTCTCTGATAGCCAGTCATGATACTGGATTTAGAAAGTCTTTCCTACATCAAATAAGAAACTATTGGAAAAATGAGTACTGCTTAGTCTCTCTGCGAAGAGAGAGGTAATCCCAGAGAAACAGGATTACTGTAAACAGGAAGATCATGTAGGCCCAGGGTGGGGGAAGGGTTGTTTGTACAAATCTATGCATTACACACAGCGCCATTAACAACCCAAATCCTGATTTAAATTACCCTTAACCTCAGATGATTAACCTTTTCCTTGCTGTTTTGTCTACCTTCTATATATGGCAAAAACCCTGCCAAAAGAAACTTATTGGTTAGAGCAAATCATTATCAGCACCACTATACAATTTGATGTAGCTACTTTTAACAATTCTTTTCTATCATGAAATGATGGAGGTGGTGTGCAATAGAAGAACATTTCAATTTCCTACCTCTTTCCAAATGCTATTGGGCACTTGTCCTCCATGATGTATAATTCTTCCTAAGTGAATGCCCAGATAATGCCCCAAACTACTGACCTAACAGCAGGATCCCAGTACTACTGGCAGTCTCCAGCCCTAATACCATGCCAGTCCAACCCCAAACTGTCCCCTCTCTCTTTGCATATGGTGATTCAATAACTCTCATACAGGAAGCTTTCAGTTGTGAGTACAGAACCCTGGAAAACTGAAAAACTCCTGGCTCCTAATGGCAGCCCATGACACGCAGCAGCCCATTAGTGGAGCCATTATCATGCTCTAGTGCCTACCAAGCATATGGAGCAAAGGGTTAAATACCTAACTGCTTTGGCTATGAAGCTTTCCTGCTGGTTTTGACCTATTTAAAAGCCAAGCTACAAAGCACAAGAGGCTTTCAATTACTCAGCATGCTAGGCAGAGTATTATGTTGCTCTAAAACCAACTTGTGAATATCAATAACCTCAAATACAAAAGATAAGTAAATACAGCACTGAAGGATTGAAAAACCCATAATATTTTTCTCATATCAACAAATCAATGTGAAGCCAAACAGTGATTAGAGCTCAATTCTGTTCAGACTAAATGTCCAATTAAAAGCAACATCTCAATGTCCTCACATTAACACACTGTCTAAAAGCATGCCTGTCTGCTTCAAAGAACTCGACCCACCCATTCTACCGAAGCATT